TGGTCCCTTGATATCCAGACGCCTCTTGAGGTGTGTTATTGCCCCAAAATTAATAGTAGGCCATTGGTTGTCTTGCTCTTTACTTATTGTTTGAGATACTTTTGTAGGAGGCCTTGACACATTTAACTCTTTTTGTTCCTGTTTCTTTATGTGACCAGTTTCATACTCACTGTCACTACTGGAAGAAGAGTCAGGTTTTGATGTTGGTACCTCGATATCCAGACGCCTCTTGAGGTGTGTTATTGCCCCAAGATTAATAGTAGGCCATTTGTTGTCTTGCTCTTTAGTGACTATTTGAGGTACTTTTGTTGGAGGCCTTGACACATTTAACTCTTTTTGTTCCTGTTTGTTTATGTGACTAGTTTCATCCTCACTGTCACTACTGGAAGATGATTCGGGTGTTGGTGATGGTCCCTTGATATCCAGACGCCTCTTGAGGTGTGTTATTGCCCCTAGATTAATGGTAGGCCATTGGTTGTTTTGCTCTTTAGTGACTGTTTGAGATACTTTTATTGGAGGCCTTGACACATGTAACTCTTGTTGTTCCTGTTTCTTTATGTGTCCAGTTTCATCCTCACTGTCACAACTGGAAGATGATTTGGGTGTTGGTCCCTTGATTTCCAAACGCCTCTTCGGGTGTGTTATTGCCCCTAGATTAATGGTAGGCCATGGGTTTTCTTGCTCTTTAGTGACTGTTTGGGATACTTTTATTGGAGGCCTTGACACATGTATCTCTTGTTCCTGTTTCTTTATGTGATCAGTTTCATCCTCACAGTCACTACTGTACGATAAATCGGATTTTGGTGTTGGTTCCTTGATATCCAGACGCCTCTTGAGGTGTGTTATTGCCCCAAAATTAATAGTAGGCCATTGGTTGTCTTGCTCTTTACTTATTGTTTGAGATACTTTTGTAGGAGGCCATGACACATTTAACTCTTTTTGTTCCTGTTTCTTTATGTGACCAGTTTCATACTCACTGTCACTACTGGAAGATGAGTCAGGTTTTGATGTTGGTCCCTTGATATCCAGACGCCTCTTGAGGTGTGTTATTGCCCC